ATTGTTCAAGGCCGGCCCTTATGAGCCTGATATAAAGAGAAATGGCTGCATGTGTGTCTGTGTTCAGATCATGTTCTACAGTAGCTGTCTGTACAGTCTGGATGTGCTTTACCGTAAGTGTGAGCGCTTGTTAAGAGTTAGAGCTGATTTTGATGGTTGAGTGTTCGTTGTTTTGGTATTGATTTGATTTTTATCGCCTCCTGGTTTTGTACTGAGCAAAATGTGTCTTCCTCTTCGCACTGTCATTATTTCCTCTTTTCTGAGAGTGGTTTTGTCATGTGTTTCCTTCTCATTTCTGTTTTCTGTCTCTTTGGCTTTTCTCTTCAGTGTGTCTTCCTCTCATTGTGTGTGTCTCTCTTGTACACACGCACACACACGAGGTGTGCAGTGTGAGATTCAGTAGTGTAAAGTGGCCATATTCTACACTTTTGTTTATTGTTTTTAATATTTTGTTTTTTTTACCCAAAATGTTCCTTTAAACTAAACAGGTTGTTTTGGCTCATGCGCCTGAGTTTTTACAGTTACAGTATATTTTCATAGTTAAACCCAAAATTGAATATAGTTAATCTCAAAACATTATGAACAATCCTGATTCAATTATATGCATCCTTTAATATGCAAATGAGTTTCTGTCTGATAATCTGAGCATGTTATACAGTAGTTTGATGTCTATGTGTCTTGTTTTTTGTCTGTCTGTCTCTGTGTAGAGGGCTCTCTTCACTCCAATGACTCTGAGTCGAATTCTCCTCCCGCGGGACAGACTGGTGTACCCACACAGGTAGTGCAGCAGGTGCAGACAGCACAGGTAATGCACACGCTTCTGTAAATATGGGTTATATCTATATATCTCATAGCTGTCAAGATCAAATGAATCCCTAAACTGTGAGGATTTATTTTCAGCAGAGGTCAGTGGTTCAGGCCACAACCAAGAGTCAAAGTGGACAACTGGGTGTCAGCAACCTACACATCACACCTGAGGTACACACACACACACACACACACACGCACACACACTTCATAACTGCTTCAAGTAGAATGACATTATAACGTGCCTGACAAATATATGCGAGATCTCATCTACTGAAATGGGTTCTTCTTCAGTTATACAGTATATTTTTTGTCTATCAGTTCACTCCTCAAAAGCGAAAGTGTGCATGCGGTATATTTCTTTACAAGGAATATCACTTGGTTTGATATTTCACAGTGTTTTTGCATATTACAATGATATATACACATTTCTAAGTGTGTTTTGAGTGCTCAAATATTTTTGGGGTATGTTATTGTGTTATTGTTCATATAATAATAATTTGTGATTACTAGAAATAATTTGCAACAAAGAAACACAATATTATATATATATCCACATATATCCTTCGTTTGTCCTTCAAAAACATCAGTAATGAGCATTATACGGGTGCAAATGAACATTAAAATTTGTGTTTGTATATTGTTTGGATGTTTATATTTTGTGTGAAACTATTATCAGCACTAAAATATAAAATGTAATTTAATGTATTTCAGTACAGATTTAGATTTGACATTATATAGACATGCTTTGTGATGTTCCCCCTCATATCTGTCTCTGATTAAACTGGCTTTTAAAGGTCTGATGTGAATCTGCTGTTTGTTTGTGTGTGTAGGTTCCTGTACAGCATGTTTACCCGAGCCAGTTTGTGGAGGGAGACGCCAACTACAACAATACTGCAATGTGAGCATCAACACAGTCCTTGTGGCGTATATTTAGCTTCACTTTACTCCTGAAAACATTTACCTTTCTCTGTATTTGTCCTTCTCTCTTCCTTTTTCAGTCGTTCCAGTAGTTACCAGTTCACAGACCCTTCCCTCTACTCTCAGGCCACGCCCTCTGTCACTTACTATGAGACGTCGCCCACCACCGGCTCACAGGTCACGTCCCCCGCCAGCGCTCAGCCTGTGTCTGTGACGTCCGGGATGGGCACAGGGGTGGTCTCCATGTTCTCAGAGGGCAGTTCGGGGATCACTGTGGTGGCTGGCGGGTCTTCGTCAGGAGTGGGCGGGACAGGAGGCGTGGTTACCAGTGGAGGGTTGGGAAGTTACGTGATTCAGGGCGGGTACATGCTCGACGGAGTGAACCAGAATTTCTCACACAACACACGCGCATCACCTGCGACTGTGAGTGTATTTGCTTTCGTTGGTGGTCCGGACTTATTTTCACCCCGAGAGAGAGAGTTTCACTCAGTGTTGTTATTCTTAGCTAAAACTAATTTGAGTAATTGAAATAAAGAAGAAATAACATAAAATAAAATATAAATATTAGAAGAAAAACTTAAACTCTAGAAATTTAAATGAAAATTAGAAGTGTTGCTTAGGCAACTAACTGAAATAAAATAAGTTTTAAGCACTAAAATGACTAAAATTGTAATAAAAATTAATTAAAGCTAAATATAAATATAAAAAAAAAAATCAAAGACTAATAAAAATAATTTAGCACATAATGATAATAAAATATAAATATTATCTGAAATAAAATATCAAAATTATAGTAATAGCACATAACGAAAATTACTAAAACTTAAACTAAAATTAAAACTGAAAATATAAAAATAAAGCAATTTAAAAATATTAATAAATAATATAATAGAAAATATCACTGTGGGAAAAGAGGAGTTTTTGAATGTGATAGTCAAATAATTAACACCTGCGGTCTCCTATCTGTGCTCAGGTGCAGTGGCTGATGGATAACTATGAGACAGCTGAAGGTGTGAGTCTTCCTCGCTGTACTCTCTACTGTCATTACCTCCTGCACTGCCAGCAGACCAAGCTGGAACCTGTGAACGCCGCCTCCTTTGGCAAACTCATCCGCTCCGTGTTCATGGGCCTCAGGACAAGACGTCTCGGCACCAGGTACAAGCACACTGTCCAGACCAGGTGTGACTAGGGTTGGGTACCGAAACCCGGTACCAATATGGCACCGGTACCTATGTAACCAGTATGTACTAGAACCGAATCCGAACGCAGATTTCGGTGCCTCATTTCGGTGCCATGCCTGAGCGATCGATTGAAATATTTGTCCTCTGGTTCTCCGAAACGGACGTAAGCATCATCATCATCACTGGCACCGCACGCGAAAAATAATATCCTGACTGAGAAAATGCACGTGAACTCAAGTCGGAAAGCTCTAATAGAGAAACCTTTTTACTCCACAACACCAGTCAAATGCTTCCTTTTGTGATCTGATGAGGCTTCTTGTCACAGAATGAGACAGAAAATATGTTCCATATGCTACTTTTAAAAAAATACATCGATTAGCAATAAATTAGGGTGACCATACGTCCTCTTTTCCCCGGACATGTCCTCTTTTTGGACCTACAACTTACGGTTCGGTTCGGTTCGTATCACGGTTTTAGAGTCACGGTTTCGGTATGGTTCGGTATGTGCTATGTTTAGGCAAAAACTATACTGTCAAATAAAAATAAAGAAAATAAGAATAATCTATCTAACTACAAGCAACAGCACAAATAAATACAACAGAGTAAAGATACAAATCAAATAAACAGTGATTTTCAGTTTTTTTTTTGGGGTAGGTCTAACATTAGTTTTTAGGTACAGAAATTGAGTAAAGTAATGAAATGTAAAACAGCATTGCATATTTGACTGTATATAAATTAAAGACTAATCTTTATTAAAGTTACAAAGGCTATTCGATCAAGAGCAGTGAGTGATTTCTTTGTTGTTGCCGTTTGATTAATATTAAGAAAGTGCTGTCACTTTAAGAGAATGCACTGATACAGAACCTTCAGCCAGCTATTTCTGCTATAGGATACTTAGCAATACGGGCATTTTGACATAATTTTTGTGTGAATTTGTCCATTTAAACACAATACTTCAGAGAAAGCTTAATATTTGCGCAAGTTCTGAGGCGCGGGTTTGCGCGCTTCGGATGAGCGCATGCACAAATCTTCTCACTGCGCGCGCGAGCTCGCGTCCTCTGGCTCTTAAATGTTTAAACTGGCAAAGCTTAAACGAGTTTAGCTTAAACACAGATATCAACGTGTGCTGTTCAGGTCTCACCTATGCGTGTGCGCCTCAGCACCCGGGTGATGACGGAATAAATGACTGCTCATATTCCAGCATATGGCATTCGCATTGAACAAGAGTGTTTTATTTATTTATTTATTTATTTTTTTAATAAGTATCGGTTCAGGCACCATTTAGGCACCGGAACCGTTTTAAAAGTATCGATTTGGCACCGGTATCGAAAAAAACCCAAACGATACCCAACCCTAGGTGTGACACAATAAAGATTCAAACCACGACAGGCAATATGAAACATTTAGCTTTATTTGTGTATTTATTGATCTGGGTAGCTCCACCCACAGTGAAATCTCATTGGTCCAGAATCTGCTCCACATAACTGTGAATTAAACATTATAGCTGTCATTGTATCACGTTGTGCAGGACTTTTTTTATTTGTCAGAATTTTAAATTGAGCAAAAGCTAATTTGAGATACGTTTTTTTATTCAGTAAGATGTGCAGAAACTCAGTGGAAAAATATTTACCAATTAGCTTTGTAAAAAAGTCAAAAATCTTGCCTAAACAAGTCACTCAAAAAATAGATTATTTAATTTTACATTTAATAAAGGCATCACTACAATTTCAATTGATATTTTACAATAATTTCCATTGATTTCTGGTGATTTTGTTCTCTTGAACAGATGGGATTAAACAAGGCAATTTATTTTAGCAAATTGTTTTTTTTGTTGCATGAATTAAATTAGCATCTTAGTTTTAAATCTAGTTTTACACTCACACATTGACAATAAATTTATGGCTCGATCTTTGTCTCTGTTGAGTGTATGTGATTCCTTACTTGAAACAAAATAAACGTTACCTGAAATAAAATACAATATAAAAAACGTAAACATATTTTATTTCAGCTAGTTGCCAAGGCACCTTTTCTTTAGTACTTAAAGCTTGCATTGAAGTACTAAAATAACTAAAACTATTAATTGAAAAAAATAAAAACTATATAGATGTGTAAAAAAAAAAAAACTAATAAAAATGACAAAAACAATTTGACTGAAAACAGAAAATGTAATAACAAAATCTAATTTTAAATTTTAACAAAAACTATAATAGTATATCATGATACTAAATGAACACAGGCTAGAACAGGCTAATATTAAAACACCTGTGTGTGCGTGTGTGTGTGTGTGCGTATGTGTTTCAGAGGGAACTCTAAGTACCATTACTATGGCCTTCGAATCAAGAGCAACTCCCCCCTGCACAGACTGGTGGAGGACCAGCAACACCTGGCCATGAGACAACAGCCGTACTCACAGAAACAGAGGTGTGTGTGTGTGTGTGTGTGTGTGTTGATGATCACTTGCTGTTGTTAGTTTAATTGACAGCCCTCATCTCTTGATAAAGGATAAAGACTGTGCCGAAGGTGGAGGGACTGACCAATGGAATGGGACTGGGGGTGGGGCATCAACAAGGGGCGGGGCTGTCTGACATCAGCGCCCAGGTTCACCAGTATCAGCAGTTTTTGGGTAAGACAGACACAAATCAAACACAAAAATGTAGGGGCACCTCTCTCTTTTGGACATATAATCTTACTCTACATCAACTTTTTATATGTGTGTGTCAGATGCGTCTCGCTGTCTGGCAGAGTTCCCTGACCTCAAAGAGGAGGATAAACCTCTGCCGGATGGACTCCTTCCTCAACACGTACTCTCATATCAGCTGGTCTACAGAGAGCACTGTGAGGTAAGTGTGTGTGTGTTGGATATCAAATGTGTGGTTATTTTAGTGTTTTGGTGAATAATGCGTGTGTGTGTGTGTGTGTTCATAGGCAATTCTGGACGTGATGGTAAACCTGCAGTTCCCTCTTGTGGAGACGCTTTGGAAGAGTTTCTGGAGGTTCAGTGAAGGTCAAAGCGGTGACACGGATACACTCGGCCTGTGAGACACATTGTTTTTATGCACAGTCAGAAGTGTTGTATTGTGTTGTTGTGTTGTGTCTCACTGCTGTCTCTGTCTCTACAGTCATGAGGATTCAGAGAAGTGTTTGCCCAAGTCAGTTCTGGTTCTGTTGTGTAAATATGAGCCCATCCTGCACTGGACCCGTGAATGCGACAACTTACTGTATCAAAGCCTAGTGGAGATCCTCATCCCTGATGTCCTGAGACCCATCCCCAGTGAGTTACACAACTCCACACAAACTCTATATAAACTCTATACGGTAACTATATAAACTTTATAGTTACAGCTCTTCACCAACTTGTTTCACAATGCTATACAAACCCAATGAATTACAAAATTCTACATACAAACTTTATATAAACAATATCCTCAGTGAGTTACAACACTAAACTTCATTGCAATGTGTTACAACTCTGTACAAACTTTGTCCCGTTGAGTTACAAAACTTGCTATGCAAACTATATAATCATCCTTTCTGACGTGCACAACGCTGTACAAACTCTGTATTAACGAGTTACAAAATTCTATACAATTCCATTTAAACAACATCCACAATAAGTCAGACAACTATATAAGCTCTATGTGTTAAAACTCTTCACCATCGTGTGTTACACAATGCTATTAAAAACTAATGAATTACAAAATTCTACATACAAACTTCATATAAACGACTCCATACAAACTTTATATAAACTCAGTGAGTTGCAACACTATACAAACTCTATATGCACTCCATTTCAGTTTGTTACAACCCAAACTCTGTATCCCCTGTGAGTTACACAATTCAGTAAGACAACTCTATAAAACCAATTCACAACTCCATGTAAACATCCCCAGCGAATTATACAGCTCTATATAAACTCCACTTCAATTAGTTACAAAACTCTACACAACTCTATGCAAAATGTATATAATCACTATTCTCAGTAAGTTACACAACTCTACACAAACTATATAAACACAATTTCATCTGGTTACAAACCTTTTCATAACTCTACACAAATTATATATAATCATCATCCTCAGTGAGTTATACAATCCTACGTAATGTAATACAAACTTTACAGCAACTCTATCCACAGTGAGCTAGACAACTCTATAAGACTTCAAAGTTCACACAAATCTATATAAAAAACATCCCCAATGATTTACACAACACTGTACAAACTCTATACAAATTCTTTATCAAATCTATTCCCGCTGAGTTACAAAATCTACCCATAGCTACCGAAACTTTATTCGAAAATTTATATAAGCACAACCATGAGCTACACAGCTATACAATTTTGCACTCTCTATACAACTTCATAGAAACCTATAAACTCCATAATTGGTCAAATGCACAATTCCAAAAAAGTAAGTTGCTTAACTCTATGCAACCATACAAAGATAGCGTAAATTCTATTTTAACTTCATGCACTTCAACAGAACTCAGTACAGCTCAAGATTCTCAATACTTTCTTGTCGTTAAAGCACTTTTGTTGCAGCAAATGACAATGAATGTAAATAAAAACCATACTTTAAATGCAGAATTTGAAATGAAGTCTTGTCTTTATTTAGACTCTTTCTATTTCTCTCTTCCTGCAGGTGCCTTAACTCAAGCCATCCGTAACTTTGCTAAGACTCTGGAGAACTGGCTGACCAATGCCATGATCAACATCCCGGAGGAGATGGTCTGCATCAAGGTCTGAATCACGCACAGATCTCCTCTGACTCCCCTCTGTCTTCGGTGTGGTTATGCTAACGCTGTGTGTGTTGTGTTGTGTAGGTGGTGTGTGCAGCAGCGTTCGCTCAGACTCTGCGGCGCTACACATCTCTCAATCATCTGGCTCAGGCGGCCCGTGCCGTCCTGCAGAACACGGCTCAGATCACACAGATGCTCAGCGACCTCAACCGTGTCGATTTCACCAATGTACAGGTAACACGGCTCACTCTGTTCATGTCCTGTCATCCTCAGCTCTCCCATCAGTTTTTAATTTACATATGTGTGTGTGCGAGTTTAGGAGCAGGCCTCATGGGTGTGTGGCTGTGAAGATGGTGTAGTCCAGCAGCTGGAGCAGGACTTTAAACTCACCCTGCAGCAGCAGAACTCTCTGGAGCAGTGGGCCGTATGGCTGGACGGGGTCGTCTCGCAGGTCCTGAAGCCATACACCGGCAGCCCGGCATTCCCCAAAGTGGCCAAACTCTTCCTGCTCAAATGGAGCTTCTACAGGTGAGAGCCACACTCACTCCCCACTGTACACTGCATAATAAATTCCCCATGAAATCAAAGTTGAATTTCTTTGGCTTTTAGTCTGAATATGCATTGACCACAAGCTCAACCGATGGCTCTGGCCGAGCTGTAATATAAACAAAATGCTACTGGCTATTTAAAAAAGGGGCGGAGCTGCCCGATATGTCCCGCCCTGTCTTCCTGTTTCAGTTGAAATACGTCAACGCATTGAATAATGCTGCGCGTTTCAAGGCACTTCGGTGGACCTTTAAAAACAGTATGTGAACAATGCACAGTACGCAACAGATCCAATTTTGTGCATAAAATCACTTTACTTTTGCTACTTTCTAATTAATATTAACAGCAGTCTAATTAAATAATGAGTCAAAAAGCTAATGCCAAACCCTTACTGTGTCCTGTTAGGGGTTTTAGTGCGTCTTTAGGTGTTATATTGCAATAATCTCACAGTGTTTGTGTGTGTTTTGTAGTTCTGTGGTCATCAGAGATCTGACCCTGCGCAGTGCCGCCAGTTTCGGCTCATTTCATCTGATCAGACTGCTGTATGACGAGTACATGTATTACCTGATCGAGCACAGAGTCGCACAGGCCAAAGGAGAGACGCCCATCTCTGTCCTGGGAGAGGTACACAAGCACACACACACACACTGTCAAACAGTCATACAGTGATTTAACTTTGTTTGTTGTTTCAGTTTGCCTGTCTGAACAGAAGTCAAAGGTCAATGGATCCTGATAAAGGTACGTACATAAACGCACACAGACACCTGTCTGATAAATCGGAACATAAAAACGCCTGACACTGATTTTCCTTTCCTTCGAGTGAGTTTTTATTGAAAAGCCTAGCAACTGCATAGCAATGCTCTAGCAACCACGCAGAACACTGTAGATTCAGGAAATGTCATTGATCGTGTTGCACGGACGCTGCTGTGTGAATGTGTGTAGATGAGGAGGATGAGGAGGAGGACGACGAGACCGATGAGGATCAGGACATGGCCATCCCTGTGGTTGTGGCGGAGGAGTCACTGGAGCCGCCCACCAAACTCGCCAGAACAGAGCTCTTCAACAACAGCAGCAGCAACACACCAAACTAACACACAGTCATTTCTGCTTCATCCGCTCAGACTGATGTACATTCACACTGACACTGCTAGTCTGTGGAAGCAATGACTGTATATGCTGAACTCATTTCTCTGAGAGCCAGTTTGGGATTGAATTACAATCTTCAGTTTGCTAATTATTAGAGGAAGTTTTTTCCTGTAAACACAGAGAAACGGCAATCATTTGAGTTTCCCGAGATGAAACCGCCCTCAGAGCTGCTGTATGATCTGATGAGGCTTTTCTAGTGAACGGTGACATTCATATGCCTTAATTAAACACGCACACATATTTTCATTGCTTTCCCTTTCTCAAAGCTGCCATGTGTGTCATGTGTCTCGGCTCTTAAAGTTACAGTTCACCCAAAAGTGAAAGTATTCACCCTCATGTCATTCCAAAGTCATCTGTCTCCAAAAAAAAAAAAAAGTGTGTTCCATAGAAGAAATAAAGTTATGTAACGACGTGAGGGTGAATAAGTGAAGATGGACGTTTCATTTTTGGGGCGAACCGTTCCTTTAAGAGTCCTGTTTTGATGATCATTCACTGCTCCATGCTGCCATAGAAATCATTCTTTGCCAAAGCCAATCATAGGTCACCTAGGTCTGTTCCTCATTAATATTCATGATCATTTAAGGTGTCGCTGTAAACCGCAGCTGCAGATTTTGCCTTTCACAGCTGTAGCACCACATGTCCTTCCATGCTTTTGACGTTCTTTTTTTAATTATAATGAAAATGATATATACAATTGTTGTGCTTTAATCAGCCGTTTAACTTTGATGCTTTGTGATTTGAGTCTGACGCTAACGGATCAAACGTGCCTTCAGAGGATTATTCAATCTAGAGATCCATAAGCGTATAAATAAATGTCAAAAACAATTATGAGAATGCTTTCTTTTTTTCCCAAATGTGAAATCTCATCAGGCCTCATTTGTAAAACACGAGCAGAATCAATTTAGTATAAATTGTAAAACCATTTTAACACACTTATCAAGTTTGGTTGACTGGTTGAATGATTTCCACAGATTCATTTAGCCGAAGTTTCATGAAAGATTCAGCGTTTAATCATTGACTTCGCTGCATAAATAAAAGCAACGTGTTCATAAAGAGATTCATTTCATCTGTCAGTGTTTCTCATTTCACACGAATCATTCATTTTATATCCACACAAATGTAGCCGAGCAAAAGTTATTATTTTCTAACAAACACTGAACACATTTATTAGTGGAGTACAGTTGTGTTGCTGTGATTGGACGCTTTGGTACAGTTCATGAATATTCCGTATCTAATTATGCTGGTTTTGGCAGCAAATCAGCAGCTACTGGTTATAGAGCCAAATCTGTGCAAAACGACTGCAGCAGTTTTGATAATAATTTAAAAAATAAAAATAAAATGCTAGTGTCGATTATGAATACTAATGTAAGAGTTTAGCACAGGTTTATATTGTTTTTGAATATATATACACACTGAACAAAATTATAAACGCAGCACTTTTGTTTTTGCCCCCATTTTTCATGAGCTGAACTCAAAGATCTAAGACTTTTTCTATGTACACAAAAGGCCTATTTCTCTCAAATATTGTTCACAAATCTGTCTAAATCTGTGTTAGTGAGCACTTCTCCTTTGCCGAGATAATCCACCTCACAGGTGTGGCATAACAAGATGCTGATTAGACAGCATGATTATTGCACAGGTGTGCCTTATCAGACAGTATCTGTTTTAACACTCCTACTCCTATTAGTAATATACCTATTTGGTTGTTTCCAAAAACTGAGGTAGATTTAAATATAATGGAACTAAAGGATAAATGGGAAGAGAGTGAGAAAGGACACATGGCAAGTCAATACATAAAAAGCAAATTTTACAGTTATTTAGATATTTATACAGATGGATCCAAAGATGAAGAAAATAGGGTAGGCATAGGAATATACATACCAACATTGAATGCAAGTATTGGGAAAAGATGACCTGATCAGTTGTCAGTTTATACGGCAGAGATGATAGCGATTATTGTAGGGTTGCAGTGGATGGAGGAAGTAAAACCTGATAGAGTGGTATGTTGTGTTGACTCTGTAGCAGCCCTTTACAGTATTCAAAACATGAAATCTAATAGAGAAGATTTAATGCTAGAAATCCATCAAAATTTATTTAGATTGCGGAGGCTTCAGATAGATGTGAGATTATGCTGGGTACCTGCTCATGTAAATATAAAAGGGAATGAGAAAGCAGACAAAATAGCAAAGAAATCAACCAGGGCGAGCAATATTATAAATATTCCCTTTGGTAAAGGAGAAGCTAAGGCAATAATAAAAAAAGAAATAATGAAGAAATGGCAGGACAGATGGGACATGGATAATAGTGGAAGGAAATATTATAGTATACAGAAATGTATCAACGCACAGGGTGTGAATGGAAGGAACAGAAGGGAGGAGTCATTTCTAACCAGGCTGAGGTTTGACCACACAGGGTTAAATAAAACATTGTGTTTGTTAGGTAAAAGTAAATCAGATGAATGTATGGAATGTAAAATCACAGAAAATGCAGAACATATATTGTTACATTGTAGGAAGTATAGGGAAGAGAGGATTAGATTAAACCAAAAGATAAGTCAGACAGGAAGGAAATGGAACCTTGAGGGTGTTTTGGGAACAACAGGAGAAGGGGTTAAAGATGCACAGGATGCTGTTGTGGAATATCTGAAGGATACAGGGGTATATTATAGGATTTAGATAGTAGTGCTATAATATTTATTTATAATATATATATATATATTTTTTTATATAATGTAAAGTGCATTCAGTGAGATATAATCCATGCTGCATACTCTGATACAGTAGGTGGCGGTATGCACCTGATAAGTCATGGTTGCAATCCGCCATAAAACATCCCCAGTGAGTTACACAACTCCACACAAACTCTATATAAACTCTATACGGTAACTATATAAACTTTATAGTTACAGCTCTTCACCAACTTGTTTCACAATGCTATACAAACCCAATGAATTACAAAATTCTACATACAAACTTTATATAAACAATATCCTCAGTGAGTTACAACACTAAACTTCATTGCAATGTGTTACAACTCTGTACAAACTTTGTCCCGTTGAGTTACAAAACTTGCTATGCAAACTATATAATCATCCTTTCTGACGTGCACAACGCTGTACAAACTCTGTATTAACGAGTTACAAAATTCTATACAATTCCATTTAAACAACATCCACAATAAGTCAGACAACTATATAAGCTCTATGTGTTAAAACTCTTCACCATCGTGTGTTACACAATGCTATTAAAAACTAATGAATTACAAAATTCTACATACAAACTTCATATAAACGACTCCATACAAACTTTATATAAACTCAGTGAGTTGCAACACTATACAAACTCTATATGCACTCCATTTCAGTTTGTTACAACCCAAACTCTGTATCCCCTGTGAGTTACACAATTCAGTAAGACAACTCTATAAAACCAATTCACAACTCCATGTAAACATCCCCAGCGAATTATACAGCTCTATATAAACTCCACTTCAATTAGTTACAAAACTCTACACAACTCTATGCAAAATGTATATAATCACTATTCTCAGTAAGTTACACAACTCTACACAAACTATATAAACACAATTTCATCTGGTTACAAACCTTTTCATAACTCTACACAAATTATATATAATCATCATCCTCAGTGAGTTATACAATCCTACGTAATGTAATACAAACTTTACAGCAACTCTATCCACAGTGAGCTAGACAACTCTATAAGACTTCAAAGTTCACACAAATCTATATAAAAAACATCCCCAATGATTTACACAACACTGTACAAACTCTATACAAATTCTTTATCAAATCTATTCCCGCTGAGTTACAAAATCTACCCATAGCTACCGAAACTTTATTCGAAAATTTATATAAGCACAACCATGAGCTACACAGCTATACAATTTTGCACTCTCTATACAACTTCATAGAAACCTATAAACTCCATAATTGGTCAAATGCACAATTCCAAAAAAGTAAGTTGCTTAACTCTATGCAACCATACAAAGATAGCGTAAATTCTATTTTAACTTCATGCACTTCAACAGAACTCAGTACAGCTCAAGATTCTCAATACTTTCTTGTCGTTAAAGCACTTTTGTTGCAGCAAATGACAATGAATGTAAATAAAAACCATACTTTAAATGCAGAATTTGAAATGAAGTCTTGTCTTTATTTAGACTCTTTCTATTTCTCTCTTCCTGCAGGTGCCTTAACTCAAGCCATCCGTAACTTTGCTAAGAGTCTGGAGAACTGGCTGAGCAACGCCATGATTAACATCCCGGAGGAGATGGTCCGCATCAAGGTCTGAAACACACACAGATCTCCTCTGATTTCTCTCTGTTTTCGGTGTGTTTATGCTAACACAGTGTGTATTGTGTAGATTGTGTGTGCGGGAGCGTTCGCTCAGACTCTGCGGCGCTACACATCTCTCAATCATCTGGCTCAGGCGGCCCGTGCCGTCCTGCAGAACACGGCTCAGATCACACAGATGCTCAGCGACCTCAACCGTGTCGATTTCACCAATGTACAGGTAACACGGCTCACTCTGTTCATGTCCTGTCATCCTCAGATCTCCCATCAGTTTTTAATTTACATATGTGTGTGTGCGAGTTTAGGAGCAGGCCTCATGGGTGTGTGGCTGTGAAGATGGTGTAGTCCAGCAGCTGGAGCAGGACTTTAAACTCACCCTGCAGCAGCAGAACTCTCTGGAGCAGTGGGCCGTATGGCTGGACGGGGTCGTCTCGCAGGTCCTGAAGCCATACACTGGCAGCCCGGCATTCCCCAAAGTGGCCAAACTCTTCCTGCTCAAATGGAGCTTCTACAGGTGAGAGCCACACTCACTCCCCACTGTACACTGCATAATAAATTCCCCATGAAATCAAAGTTGAATTTCTTTGGCTTTTAGTCTGAATATGCATTGACCACAAGCTCAACCGATGGCTCTGGCCGAGCTGTAATATAAACAAAATGCTACTGGCTATTTAAAAAAGGGGCGGAGCTGCCCGATATGTCCCGCCCTGTCTTCCTGTTTCAGTTGAAATACGTCAACGCATTGAATAATGCTGCGCGTTTCAAGGCACTTCGGTGGACCTTTAAAAACAGTATGTGAACAATGCACAGTACGCAACAGATCCAATTTTGTGCATAAAATCACTTTACTTTTGCTACTTTCTAATTAATATTAACAGCAGTCTAATTAAATAATGAGTCAAAAAGCTAATGCCAAACCCTTACTGTGTCCTGTTAGGGGTTTTAGTGCGTCTTTAGGTGTTATATTGCAATAATCTCAGTGTTTGTGTGTGTTTTGTAGTTCTGTGGTCATCAGAGATCTGACCCTGCGCAGTGCCGCCAGTTTCGGCTCATTTCATCTGATCAGACTGCTGTATGACGAGTACATGTATTACCTGATCGAGCACAGAGTCGCACAGGCCAAAGGAGAGACGCCCATCTCTGTCATGGGAGAGGTACACAAGCACACACACACACACTGTCAAACAGTCATACAGTGATTTAACTTTGTTTGTTGTTTCAGTTTGCCTGTCTGAACAGAAGTCAAAGGTCAATGGATCCTGATAAAGGTACGTACATAAACGCACACAGACACCTGTCTGATAAATCGGAACATAAAAACGCCTGACACTGATTTTCCTTTCCTTCGAGTGAGTTTTTATTGAAAAGCCTAGCAACTGCATAGCAATGCTCTAGCAACCACGCAGAACACTGTAGATTCAGGAAATGTCATTGATCGTGTTGCACGGACGCTGCTGTGTGAATGTGTGTAGATGAGGAGGATGAGGAGGAGGACGACGAGACCGATGAGGATCAGGACATGGCCATCCCTGTGGTTGTGGCGGAGGAGTCACTGGAGCCGCCCACCAAACTCGCCAGAACAGAGCTCTTCAACAACAGCAGCAGCAACACACCAAACTAACACACAGTCATTTCTGCTTCATCCGCTCAGACTGATGTACATTCACACTGACACTGCTAGTCTGTGGAAGCAATGACTGTATATGCTGAACTCATTTCTCTGAGAGCCAGTTTGGGATTGAATTACAATCTTCAGTTTGCTAATTATTAGAGGAAGTTTTTTCCTGTAAACACAGAGAAACGGCAATCATTTGAGTTTCCCGAGATGAAACCGCCCTCAGAGCTGCTGTATGATCTGATGAGGCTTTTCTAGTGAACGGTGACATTCATATGCCTTAATTAAACACGCACACATATTTTCATTGCTTTCCCTTTCTCAAAGCTGCCATGTGTGTCATGTGTCTCGGCTCTTAAAGTTACAGTTCACCCAAAAGTGAAAGTATTCACCCTCATGTCATTCCAAAGTCATCTGTCTCCAAAAAAAAAAAAAAGTGTGTTCCATAGAAGAAATAAAGTTATGTAACGACGTGAGGGTGAATAAGTGAAGATGGACGTTTCATTTTTGGGGCGAACCGTTCCTTTAAGAGTCCTGTTTTGATGATCATTCACTGCTCCATGCTGCCATAGAAATCATTCTTTGCCAAAGCCAATCATAGGTCACCTAGGTCTGTTCCTCATTAATATTCATGATCATTTAAGGTGTCGCTGTAAACCGCAGCTGCAGATTTTGCCTTTCACAGCTGTAGCACCACATGTCCTTCCATGCTTTTGACGTTCTTTTTTTAATTATAATGAAAATTATATATACAATTGTTGTGCTTTAATCAGCCGTTTAACTTTGATGCTTTGTGATTTGAGTCTGACGCTAACGGATCAAACGTGCCTTCAGAGGATTATTCAATCTAGAGATCCATAAGCGTATAAATAAATGTCAAAAACAATTATGAGAATGCTTTCTTTTTTTCCCAAATGTGAAATCTCATCAGGCCTCATTTGTAAAACACGAGCAGAATCAATTTAGTATAAATTGTAAAACCATTTTAACACACTTATCAAGTTTGGTTGACTGGTTGAATGATTTCCACAGATTCATTTAGCCGAAGTTTCATGAAAGATTCAGCGTTTAATCATTGACTTCGCTGCATAAATAAAAGCAACGTGTTCATAAAGAGATTCATTTCATCTGTCAGTGTTTCTCATTTCACACGAATCATTCATTTTATATCCACACAAATGTAGCCGAGCAAAAGTTATTATTTTCTAACAAACACTGAACACATTTATTAGTGGAGTACAGTTGTGTTGCTGTGATTGGACGCTTTGGTACAGTTCATGAATATTCCGTATCTAATTATGCTGGTTTTGGCAGCAAATCAGCAGCTACTGGTTATAGAGCCAAATCTGTGCAAAACGACTGCAGCAGTTTTGATAATAATTTAAAAAATAAAAATAAAATGCTAGTGTCGATTATGAATACTAATGTAAGAGTTTAGCACAGGTTTATATTGTTTTTGAATATATATACACACTGAACAAAATTATAAACGCAGCACTTTTGTTTTTGCCCCCATTTTTCATGAGCTGAACTCAAAGATCTAAGACTTTTTCTATGTACACAAAAGGCCTATTTCTCTCAAATATTGTTCACAAATCTGTCTAAATCTGTGTTAGTGAGCACTTCTCCTTTGCCGAGATAATCCACCTCACAGGTGTGGCATAACAAGATGCTGATTAGACAGCATGATTATTGCACAGGTGTGCCTTATCAGACAGTATCTGTTTTAACACTCCTACTCCTATTAGTAATATACCTATTTGGTTGTTTCCAAAAACTGAGGTAGATTTAAATATAATGGAACTAAAGGATAAATGGGAAGAGAGTGAGAAAGGACACATGGCAAGTCAATACATAAAAAGCAAATTTTACAGTTATTTAGATATTTATACAGATGGATCCAAAGATGAAGAAAATAGGGTAGGCATAGGAATATACATACCAACATTGAATGCAAGTATTGGGAAAAGATGACCTGATCAGTTGTCAGTTTATACGGCAGAGATGATAGCGATTATTGTAGGGTTGCAGTGGATGGAGGAAGTAAAACCTGATAGAGTGGTATGTTGTGTTGACTCTGTAGCAGCCCTTTACAGTATTCAAAACATGAAATCTAATAGAGAAGATTTAATGCTAGAAATCCATCAAAATTTATTTAGATTGCGGAGGCTTCAGATAGATGTGAGATTCTGCTGGGTACCTTAATCCATGCTGCATACTCCGATACAGTAGGTGGCGGTATGCACTTGATAAGTCATGGTTGCAATCCGCCATAAAACCAACGACAAGAAGAAGAAGAAGAAGAACACAACGTTCTGCGAACAAAACCTTACTTAAAAAGATAGAGGTAATACAAAATCAAGCTTTGCGCATTTGCTGTGGAGCATTCAATAGAAGGGAGGAATCAGTTCTAACCAGGCTGAGGTTTGATCAAACAGGGTTAAATAAAACATTGTTTTTGTTAGGTAAAAGTCAATCAGATGAATGTATGGAATGCAAAATCACAGAAAATGCAGAACATATACTGTTACGTTGTAGGAAGTATAGGGAAGAGAGGATTAGATTAAACCAAAAGATAAGTCAGACAGGAAGAAAATGGAACCTTGAGGGTGTTTTGGGAACAACAGGAGAAGGGGTTAAAGATGCACAGGATGCTGTTGTGGAATATCTGAAGGATACAGGGGTATATTATAGGATTTAGATAGTAGTGCTATAATATTTATTATTATTATTTTTTTTCCAGCATGTCCTCCTTGGGTGTTCCCTATGCCACTAATTGATTTACAAATTCACAAAGTAATAAAAAACCGTAGATGAACATGCCAGCTGAAGTAGTAGTTCAACAATATATAATACAAGAGTATTATTCAGTGTTACAGGTATTTACAGATGGGTCTAAGGAGCCAGAGTCTGGAAGAACAGCAGCAGCAGTTTATATTCCTACTTTTAAAATAAAAATGGCTAAAAGATTATCAGATCATGTGTCAGTTTTTACTACCGAATTATTAGCTATCATACTAGCTCTACAGTGATCCAGCAACTTCGCACAGCCATTGAAGAGGAGTGGACCAACATTCCACAGGCCACAATCAACAACCTGATCAACTCTATGCGAAGGAGATGTGTTGCACTGCGTGAGGCAAGTGGTGGTCACACCAGATACTGACTGGTTTTCGGACCCCCCAATACAGTAAAACTGCACATTTTAGAGTGGCCTTTTATTGCGGCCAGCCTAAGGCACACCTGTGCAATAATCATGCTGTCTAATCAGCATCTTGATATGCCACACCTGTGAGGTGGATGGATTATCTCGGCAAAGGAGAAGTGCTCACTAACACAGATTTGTGAACAATATTTGAGAGAAATAGGCCTTTTGTGTACATAAAAGTCTTAGATCTTTGAGTTCAGCTCATGAAAAATGGGGGCAAAAACAAAAGTGTTGCGTTTATAATTTTGTTCAGTGTATATATATATATATATATATATCAGCGTTTCTTTAATTGTACTATAAGAGTTGCTGCAAATGGTATGATTTTAGTTGTGTGAAATTATTCAGGTGTATGATTATGCTAATGTATGATATAGTTTTATGATCTTGTACTGATGAAACCATAATGGCCTTATTTGAAGTGTACCTGTAGCAGAAATCCATGTACAAATCTGTATTATTGTGCCTCAAAGTTCAGTGTCCCTTTAAAAAAAGCTTTTAAGAAAATTAATGCATTCTGATGTTTTGTTTGTTGCACACATGCAGTTCACTTATTTTCAGTGTTATTGTTTACTAAACTACTTTTTATTGAAATAAAACTGAAACAAAATATACATTTTAGATGAAAAACACTGCTCACTTTGAGGCAATGAAAAGTCATAAAACCGGTAAAGTATTGAAGGAATATTTAATTCTATCAAAAATAAAGTAAAATAACATTGCATAAAAACAATATTCTCATCCAGTCCAGCTGTGAGGCCACAACTAGTATTAAAAAAGGGCAGGAGGGGTCAACAGCTTCTGATTGGCTGATGACACGATCTAAACGATGTAAACAACTGCATCCTCAAACAAACAAACAAACACAGGTAACCCCCAAAGCAATGTCCCACTTCTGTCCACGAAAACGTCCTGTTACACTTTTCAATTTTAGGGAATTTCAAACTGAAAAATAACTACTTCAAATCATTACACTAACATCAAAACAAGTGTAAAAGTGTGCAAGTTTAACGGAGACAGATGTTCAGTTCTGTTTTGCATCGGGATGGTGATTGTTGATGTGTTTCGTAAAATGATCCCAGAGTGTCCCACGCTGTCGGCTGAGCACCGTGGATTTGCTCGGCCCAAACCTGTCTTTATCTGACTACGGGTTCCTGAATAATCTGCTCCCACACAATCACACAGATACACGCAACAAACACAACTCAAACACTGAGAGTGGCTGCGTTTGGACTGACACGTCATCCGTCCCACAGCAGAGCAGCACTGAGGAGTGTGTGAGTGTGTCGTCTTTCTCACAGGACGATCCACGTGCCTCTGTCATTATCAGCCAACACCTGAAGAGAAGAACCTGCAATCAGCAGAACAAAATGTCACAAAGTATTGTAGGTGACGTTAAAATTAACATATAATATGCATATAATCAGATTACTTTTTGAAAGTAACAATTCGAGTGTTTTTATTATGAATTAATTAAAGTTAATTAAATGAGTTTATTAGTTTTATTTATGCAAAAAAATGCATAAATATCTCATAGAAAATCAATAAATCATTTGCAATAACAATTTTAAATATAGAAGCCCATTTCTGCATCAGAATAATAATACTTTAATATTTTGAATATATAATAATTTTTTTAACTTTAATCTCCCAATACAACTTCACAATTACCTTTTTTCCCAACTCTGATGCAAAGAGTTAAATCTGACCAAAAAATATAAACTTATTTAATAAGGTTTAGAGGATGTCTGCCCAACATGAAAATCAAGTATACTACAGTTCAAAAGTTCGGAGTCAGTCTATTTATTTATTTATTTAAATGCTTTTATTTAGTGTTTATATATACACAGTATATACACATAAGGACATATTAAATTGATCAAAAGTGACAGTTGAGACATTACAAAAGTTTCAAATAAATGCTTTTCTTTTGAACTTCCTATTCATCAGTAAATCCCGAAACGAAATATATATTAGTTTTACACACAAATTCAGAAATGTTTCTTGAGCAGCAAATCAGCATATTAGAATGATTTCTGAAGATCATGTGACACTGAAGACTGGAGTAATGATGCTGAAAATTCAGCTTTGATCACAGGAATAAATTACATTTTACAACATATTCAAATAGAAAGCAGTTATTTTTAAATTGGAATAACATTATTGTATTAATGTTTGAGCATGTGTGTCTAAATCACACCTTTATGCAGAGCCTC